CTCATTGTTAACAAATCTCCCCTACTCGACAATCCAAGACGGGCGTACATTTCCGAAAATACAATTTACAGCATTTTTTTTAGATAATAAAGGCCAAAAACATAGGCTTGCTAACAGAAACAGTGTTTTCGAATTTTCTATTTAGGACAAGAAAATATTGTTTCAAACTACGCCTTGCGTTGGAAACAGGATTCTCAATGCCGAGTAAGCATCCTTTTCAGAAATGGAGAAACCACAGGGGTAAGCTTATGAAAAAATCAAGCATCCTAGAATTACTAAGGAGTATTTACAAAAAAGAAAGAAATACCCATAACTTAACAACAAAACGCACCACAGAAACTCAGGTCATACGGGTGACATGAAAAGAAGATGAACTGCATCGCAAGTATGGTCTCTCGTAAGATACGTATTCCTCATGTTAACCCCTTAAGGGTGGGGAAGAAGTGTCCTTGCAATGGACTGGCATTCTATCCAGGGGGAAGTATTGCTAACCCTAGTTACTTTATGCTACGGACACAGACTTTTCTACCTTCTAATATGGTAACTTCCAAATTGAGAAGTTATGTCAGTAGAACTAATAATTTTTGACGTTAAAATATACTTGCAGACTGTTGACTGACTTGAGATATAGAATATGTAAATAACAGTATTTTCTCGACTAGTGTTTTTTTGCAGTAGTGATAAAATTGATATGCTAATAATAATAATGATTATAAAAATTATAGCTATAATAATGACACTGTCACCACAATAAGGGCAGCTCTCGTCGCATAACACCCTTAATCTTTGAGGGACGTATAAGCGTCTTAAAATAGGCCCTTTGATATCCATTTTTCACAGCCTCAGACACGATACACTATGTCCCTGTATGAGAAAATGAAGAAATGTAACCACGAGCTCGAGGTAAGATGGAATACACTGTAACCTTTCTTCGAGACAAAGATGCTAAATTTTGTGAAATTCCACGATTCACATTTCCTGAGAGCGACGAGTCTCATTCGGATCAGAAAAATGAAAATGAAGATTTCTGTTCAAGTATTCACCTTTTTTGTCAAGCATGTGACAGATTGATTTTATATCGTTCTTTTTAACAATTATTTTTATATTAATAAAGTAAAAAACTAAAATGTTGTTCTCATCTTCTCTATGAGAAGATAGAGCTCGTTTCATTGAAAGCTTCGGCTGTTCTGAGTTTAAAAATCTTCATACTTAAGATTTAACTTTTATCAATGTCATCTTTTTTGAAGGTCTTTACCATGATTGGCTGCAGTGTGAGCGTTCCCGCAATTTTAAGATACACTTACCCAGGTAAAATAATCACTTGTATCATCTAAAATATAACCATAAATAAGCTGACTTGAACCGTAATAAATTTTTGACGTCATTTCCAGGTTGTCAAAACATCACAAGTTTTCCAAAAGACATCTGCTACGAATGTGAGTATTCTCTGTAACTGATACACTTAAATTCTCGTCAAAATTGTCTTCAAATATGCCAATGCCGCCATTTTGAATCCTGCTCGAATCTGGGCGCTCCACTTTTGATGTCATTAGTAATTACTAGTAAGTCTTACTCTGCTTTTTCCCATCTCTTGCTTTCCTTCTGATGAACAATTTGGGGCCACTCAAAAAGACTTTCTTTCACCCACATAATAACTTTGTTGCGATCTCCAGTGCAGCGGTCGATGGGAATTGAGCGTTGTGGTTTTGGTACGCGACCTGGTTACCAAGTTATCCTTTCAAAATGGCGGCTCTCAGTGCCTCACTTTGACACATTTCAAGAAATCTTTGCGATGCAATGCCTCCAATGCCAATGGTCTAAATTTTCTTTATCCTATCCGCCCATCATCATGAAACTACAAATTTACTGTTTGGGCCGGAAAGTTAGGCTGTAATAGACCTGCTCCACAAATGCGGGAAGAATAATCTTAAGGTTCATCATATTATCACTCATCATACCAAAAAGGTTATTTTAAAGATGCAGATAGAAGAAATATGTACTTATGCTATATTACTACTAAGTGTTTCTTTACTACAAACCGCCTTCCACAGTTGACCCTCCAGATGCACCAATGGCAGACAGGATAGTCACTAACATCCGTCTCGCAGAACCTATGACACCTGCACCGGACTACAGATTTTATGCGACATTTACTTGGAACCCGCCAGTTTACCCTTACAAGAACATAACTGAATACGTGTTTATATTGCACAAGCAACCTGGAAATCACTTTATAAACTTGGGTAATGAGAACCCTGTAAGTTTTTTCATTTGTTTATTCGTTGATAATTTTAAATTGAGCGTCGAAAGATATCTGGACTGCCGTTGTTTTTTTGCTTAAATTCACTCTCTGGTTGTTCCCGAAAACGTGCCCATCTGTTTCAGCCTACCAGATGCACGACTTGGTCACTCGCGTTCTCCCGCGCTTTAAGCTATTTTTTTG